AAATAGCAAGGCACAGTGGCTGTGAGTTGGAGTATTTAACTCCTTCATAACACTTACAGATGAGATTGTTTATAGGCACTTATGTTCCTCAAATAGTTTTAGTTTGGAAAAGTGTTTTCAATAAACTTTTAAAATGGTGTGCCTGTGTTTGTTAGACAACTATTTCCTTTTGTAGTCATTTGTAGTTTTTAAGTAATGAAGCAATGGGTGACTGGACGGTTCTTCTGCTTGGATCTGTACAGGTGTTATTCAGCTTCTATATTTTTATTTTTAAAGGCTGAAAATCTGGACACACATCAAAAACTTCAGCTTACTGGTTACATTGTGTTAACCAGTTGCATTGTGCTATAAAGATCAAAAAGCACATTACAAACGATTATACTTTTATAAGAAAAATGCTTGGTAAACCACATGTTAGAACAGAATTTATTAATGGAGATAGCTTTTTGATATATAACACAGTAACCTAAAACATCAGGTACTGTTGAAGATATGTCTAATGTAAGTTAAAAGGAATTTACAGCAAAAAATGATACTTTCTGTGTTGTCACCGTAATGCCCATGAGGTAGTTTGGCCCTTTCAAAGATTGTTTTATTATTATCTTAATGCAGTTTCTTCTTCCTAAGGAAATAATTTTGCTTCCTTGCAATGTAGGTTCTTCAGAATGAAGATATAGAAAAACCTCCAAAGAAAGTTGATCCACAGCTCTTAAAAATGGCATTGACTCCTTACCCCAAACTCAAAGCTGCTCTCTTTCCCCCGTGTACTTCTCACGGAATTTTGCCACCTGACATCTCTCTCTACCATCTTGTTCAGGTACACAAAATGCTTCTCGGTAGTGCTTTTTGGCAGAACAAAAGTAAACTAAGAGAAGCTTGTTTTCAGCTAAAGCCTGGAGGATGGGGACCATATGTTGTTTCCTTGGAATCGTTAATTTGGAGCTAAGGTTTCTAGCTTCATTCTGAACAGTTTTTTAAAATGGTGTCTAAATACTGTGAGTGTGGCTTCCCCCCGCTCCCCCAGGCGTGTAAAGACATCTGCCGTGTTTAACTTCAGCAGTCCTGGAATATCAGAGAAGTGCAGTGGGCAGGTTGTTTAGTATTACAAAAATTAAAATGTTTTTAATTGTCTAAGGGAAATTGAAATTTAGAATTAAAGGATGGTGTCTCATGGAATGTCATGACACGTTTCTGGGAAAATGCTTTGTGATACGAGAGAAACTGAAAGTTGGAAGAAATGCTATGAATTATTCATCATTAGGAAAGTGTTAACTTTGCTAAGATCACAGTTGAGCAAAATAATTAAGCATGTTCTTTCCGTATTTCCTTAGACCAAAGTCTAAGCCTTTCCTTGCACTTGTTTGCATTCTGATCCTATGGAGTAGGTAAATCCGTACCTTTGAGAGACAGCTGCGCGAGATACATCGCTGCCTGATAGCGGCACAGGCCGTTCCTGACTGCCTGCTGCTATAGCTCCCTAAATATTCTATGGTCTGGTCTGATGTGAAAATCTTAAGCTACCTTAATATATTTTGGTTTTAATCTTTCAGTCGTTGGTGCCCTTTGACCCCACTAAATTATTTGGCTGGCAGTCAACAAACACTCTTGCTGTATCAGGTATGTTAATTTCCAGTTTTATATGCTTTTCTAGCCTGAGCATCTAGGGTAGAGTACCTTCCAGTGGAATGATTTGGCAGATAAACTTATTCAAAAGGCCATTTCTTCTACAGAAAAAACAGTGTAATTTACTAAAGTTTTCTTTTGAAATTAAATCCTAGATAGGTTACCTTTTCCCGTTAAGCTCTTCACGGACAGAATTTTTTCTAAATGTATTACGAGATAGAAAAGCAGTATTTTCTTTTAAAAGCAAGTCGAGGGCCTAAGAAGTGATCTAGAGTTCTGATTTTACGGTGAGAATTGGAATTTCAGTGGGGCTTGAGTATGCTGAGATTTGAATTAGAACAAGAGGAGAGGTATTCGATTGTCATCTCATGTTTTGTGGCTGAAAGCCATTTTCTGTGTTTAATTCAACTGTTTATCAGCTCATAAAAATGATGATATTCTTTCTAGATGCATCAAGTGACTTTCCTCATTTTTCATCCCCTGAACTGGTGAACAAATACGCTATAATGGAACGACTGGATTTTTTGTACTATTTGCACCATGGACGTCCATCATTTGCTTTTGGTACATTTTTGGTCCAGCAGTTAGTAAAGAGCAAATCCCCCAAACAGTTGTAAGTCTTCTCAGAAATGACAGTTGGGTAGTTCTTTCGAAGGAACAATCTAGCACATGGAGTAGCATTGATCCTCCCCAACAGCAAACAAGTGGTGTGCGTTGCATCACTTGAAATTTTAGGTGTCCTAGGAGTCTATTCAGTCTAGCATTGAGTAGGATAGAAATAAAATACCACCTGAAAGGAGGTGAGCTTTATTTTGAATTACCTAAATAAAATCTGCACAATGAAAGCAAGGAATGAAAAATGTTCCAGTCATATCAAACACAGGTAGGCTTTTCTTCCAGACACTTGAGCCTCTAGATCTCTGTGGAAAAAAGATGCCCCTTTTCTTTGGCATTTCCTAAGGATGACACTTCCTTAGTTAAATTAATAAAGCAAATAATGTACTGGAGATTAAAGGAATTAAATTTTATTTTATAATTAATT